AAAGCAAATTTTAGGTGGAATGTCTTTGGACATTGGGGTAGCCGAGGCTACCCATTCTCTGTACTAATATTCTCTTTTTTAATAAAATCATTTTCACTGATAAAAAAAAAGAATTAAGCTTGAGTGACTCTTATGCCCTTCTGGGTTAATAATAAAAGGAAAATCAAAATTGCTTGTTAGTGGTGTTATCAGCACACCTTGAAAGTAAAGGCTATAGCCGTGCTGACACTGGGCACTTAGCATGACAGTTCTTGTACCACCTGGATGGGGCTCAATTGATCCAAGCTGAAGAAAGCAAAAAACTTGCTAGTTAACCCTCATAAACAAGATACCAGAAGAAAGGATACACCTTATAAGGAGTTTCCACTTTGACTTTCTTTTTCTTTCCTGCTTTGGAAAACTATCTATTAATTTAATATTATTTACCATTTCTGGAGAGATTAATATTTGGCACCCTTGCTTTGTACTTCTAGAAGGGCTGCATGGCACTGCCTTAAATTTTCTTCTTCTTTTTTGTTGTTTTAATATAACATACAGTGTTTCACATGAACTTCTATAAAATACTTTATGTTATTGTTGTAATGATAAGATAGTCCTAAACTGGAGAGTCATCACTACAAGAATATATGACTAGATATTTGGCTTCTAGAGTGAACATCTTTTTCAGATCTGTCCAATGAACTACCAATTCTTTGGTAGACTGTTTGGATAGAGTTGGTGTTAAATGGAGGAAGTATATTGGTATTCGGCCATGCATAGATGGACCTTGGTTTCCTTATGGGCATTTACAATTCTACTTCATTGATGTTGAAATTTCCTTTTCTTCCTATGTAAAGCTCTAGGTTTTTGTCCTCCATTCTCCCCCATTTCCCACCTTTTTATATTAATATCTCGATATATCTCTGTTGTTACTGTAAAGGAAAAAAACAATCCTAAATAACATGCTAATAATGGCTTTTATAGTCATAGTGATTAATGGTAGTTTTATGACATAACATTAAAGAAAGACACAGGTCATATAAAGAGAGAAAAAAGCAGACAAGGAGAAATGAAATGTCTGTTGGGGGAAACACAACATGTTGTTTATATGAAGTGACAATACAATCATTATAGAGCTATACTAGCTATTGTGAATTCAAGCTTGTGTATGAAGCTTCATAAAAATGATTGAGCATGGTCCAACGTTTGAAATCAAAGTTAAAATGAAAACTATAGGCTTATGCTAAGGATCAGTTATTAAGGCTCTCTTTCTTACGTGATTGTTAAAAGAGGTGAACAGTGAGAAAGCGTATGTAGAACTAATATGTAACCATTAGTAAGTCCCCAGTCCAATCATTTCTCTCTGCATGACAATGTGAAACATGCAGCTTTTTCCCTAAACATCTAATTGAAATTCAGATATCTTCCTTGCAATGTCTTTATGATCTTCAAAGGAGGGTTGCAAATCCTTTGATGAAATCCACAAGGGAAGAGATATCAACTTTTGGCAATCTTCTAACAAGTTCACAAACATAGATTGAGACCTGCAGAGTTTGGGAAGAAAAAAGCAAGAAAAAAGACAACTTTTGGCCAAGGCATTGCTGTTCATTCTTGACACACTGTGTTGCAATTTTATTTCTTGGGCCTACCCCATGGAGGACAGCCTTGTTTTCATTGGTTTTCCTCAACATTCGAATTTATGTTTCTGAAGTCTATTTCTGTACTTGGTGTTTTTTGTTGGTTTTATATTTTGTCTGATTGAGCATATCAACAGAATCTTTTTAGTTGTGTGTTAATATTGATTTCAAATGATACATCATTTTTGTTTTCACCTCTATCTATCTTCGCTGAAATTAATGCAGTGTCTGGGTGGCTAGAAAGCCACCGGGTTATGCATTTGTTGAGTTTGATGATCGTAGAGATGCTTTGGATGCAATTCGTGCATTGGATGGTAAGTAGAAATTATAATTTTTCTAGTTAAGTTGTTTATCTTGGTGCTTTGCCCACAATAAATATGTCTATTAGTTCATGTTTTCATTTTGATTTTATTTAGTGTAATATTTTTGCCAGCTAACTTTCATTAGATGATTCTGTAGTTTTGACTCCAATCCTTATATAACTTGATTTATTTGCTGCTCATGGTCAACATTCTCATTGTTCATCTGGGAGATTTACCTTTAAAGATGGTTTTTGATGTCAGTGCTGATGGCCAAAATGCAAATTTGAGAGTCAAAGACTTTTCCCCCTCATGCTTGCTGTAAAAGCAATCATGCATCTTAAAACCTTTTTGGGACCCAAGCACTCTTTTTATACAAAAAGATAAAGAAACCTATGTTGGATTCTATATTCAAGACTGAGATAAACACATGGATTGCTTTAACTAAATAAAATAAACACTTAACTAAATAAGTTAAGTTGATACAGAAACATGGTCCAACAAATCATGAAGAGATCAAGAACAACTTGGATTATAGTTATTGTCACTAAGGGTCTGTTTGATTGCTGAGAAAATTGGACTGAGAAAGGATGGGATGAGAAAAGGAAAATTTATTTTCTCAGTTAGTTATAATGTGTTTGTTTGCTGAGAAAATTTTTGTGAGAAAATCCACTTTCTAGTGTTTGTTTGCTGAGAAATTTTTTCAACTAAAAAATTGCATGTAATTTACTTTTATGACAACTTGCACCCCCCA